CGGGGGTGGGGGTCGACATTTATTCTGCTCTTTTATCGCTCTCGTTGTTCTTGTCATGGCCAGGCTCCGGCGAGGAGCCGCGCAGAGAGCGCAATGAGCACCCAAAACCATTTTAAACTGCGATCAGCACAATCCTGCTTACCTTAAAAAAAAATTGTGTTTGTGTTGAAAAACATAATGCTTCTCGATGCGTAATTGTCAGATAAAAAAGGGGAATCGATATTCTCCCGACGTAGACATTGAAATATCGAGACCTCAATTACTCCCGCGACACATCGGCAATTTTCAGACATATCACGGTAAAAACGATGTCTTATTTTTTGAGGAAAAGGGGAAAACTTTGAGGAACTCCCCCTGGTTTGACGAAAACTCCTCAGATTTCGAGGAAGTCTCCTCAAAAAAAGTGGGATTTTCCCTCGTTTTTAGAGAAGATTCCTCAAAATCTGAGGCGAGATCGGAGGACTGTTCCTCAAACATGGGAGTTCCTACACACTAACTCCCTTTTTCCTTTACCGTGTGTATTGCTCCACAATATGACCAGATTTTGCGGTATTATCATCGATATTATCTCGACATTATCGAGACTGGCGATGCATTAGGCGTTGTTCGACATACTTTGGTCGATATCAAAATGTGGATAGCGCTGAACGCTATACCTTTAAACGGCTCGGCTCAGCGAATGTGTCGCACTACCGTCACTCCAGCCGCCCCTTTTGTCTCTCATAGCGGAGGTAGGGGGGGAGGGGGGAGGTTAAGCGTATTGAGGCTAGTCCGAAGTGTATCAAAGGATGACGCAACGAGCGGACTACGCAACGCACGCGCGCGCAGGGGGCGGAGGGGGGGGGGGGGCTTGAGGTCTGGACCTGACGGATGGATTGACGACGGATTCACCCAGAGGGCGTAGAGGTGATAAGCAGCCAGAGGATCCCCCGATGACCTTCACAGGGAAAGCTTCCATAGAGAGGCCATCATGGGACGATACGAGCATAAATGCCTGGGCGCTTCGAGAAAACAACACAACACCCAGATTATCACGAACGCGACTTCGAATTCAAGTACCTTTAACGTGATGGTAACTCTAAAAGTTGCAACGTTTAACTTACCAGAGACTACTACTTCAACGTTGTACTGAAAATTAGAGACTGTAGGATCAAAGTAAGACATTTTTGACGACCCACAACCTTAACTGTTTTTTAATTATTTTACAAGTTATTATAAGTTACGTTATAGGTAAAACGAACGTATAACTTTAGATGCGTTAAGCAGGACCCCTTCGAATCTCCCACAGAGTTCGCAGGGAGGACGATCGCTAATAATTTCAGGACCTCTGCGGAGTCTGCTGGCAGCTCTCACTCGCTCGCCGACCGATTCCTGCTCTCACCCGCAAACTTCTATCTTCCCTCCACAAACTCGGGCGCGATCAAAAACCCATGAAGTCTTCGGAAAATTGTGCCAAACTCGCCCCGACCCGACAACTATACTTCCGCCTCCGCCCACAAGCCACCCAGTCTGTCAACCAATAATGCACTTCGTCTGCGGTCGCTCACCCGCGCACGGCGGAAATATCGGCGGGAAAAATACGAATCTGAGCGCGAGCGCGCGCGGGCGGCGTCGTCGGCGACGCCCTCCTGTTGCACTTCCAGGCAACAGGTAATCGGCCGCCACCGCCAGCAGCAGGCGTGGTCCTGGGGGGATTATCCAAGTACACTGCCATTCAAGAAGACAATTAATAAACAAAAAAACACACGAAAAACCCAAACCAAAAATAAGCAGAAAAGAGGAATTAATGGTGCGATATGGAGCCAATGTTGACGTTGTAGAGCTGGTTTGAATATTCACGAGGGTGCTGCTCTGAGCAGCACGATGAGGGAGGGAGTGGGGGTCAGGCGTCGGCAGTAGTTAGTTAGAGAGAGAGGGGAGAGAGAGAGAGAGAGAGAGAGAGAGAGAGAGAGAGAGAGAGAGGAGGGTGAGAGGGCGCTCGTTGACACGACGGCCTGACCACAGGTTTCCATTAAGCGAGCAACAGTGTGTACTTGATGGTGTTAATGGACGTCTAGTAGCGGCCCGCTTTTAACTAGCTGTATATCGGCGACACGGGGCGGCGGCACCTGCAGCTGTAGTGGCAGCGGCGGCTGAGGCGACACCTGTAGCTGCTGCAGCTGCAGCCGCGGGACACGACACGACACTTGCAGCGGTGCTGCTCACTGACCGTGATCCCAACTCGAGCGTGGCTTCGCTCTGCTCTCTCAGGACGCACCAGGACAAACAGAGAAATACACAATTTCGTCGAAATGGGATAGCCTATGTTGTTGTTGTGGTGTGTTTTTCTTTCTGCGGGATCAAAGAAAAGCGCCACCACACCATCTCAAGGGATGCAACATTCATGTGGATTTTCTGTTTTGCTTTTTATGGTACATTTCTAAAACGCCGCCGAAGTTTTGGGAGCGAAAATTTCGCGTTGTGGGGATTACACAGAAAGGCTATCACAGGACGACCCAGTAAACATGGAAAAGGGAGGGGATAGGGGGA